TGGGAACTCATTCTGTGACAGAGTCATACTTTTAGAGTCATCACTTAAAATTCCTAGAGGCACAGCACAGGCACAAAGCTGAAAAAAGGGAAATATAGAGAAGGAAATTCGTTTTAATATTTATAGAAGCAAACCCAGTCTAGAAATTTTCTGAAATTTTACTCGGTGGAATCTCAAAATGCGCTCTGGAACTTACCAGTATGAAACTCAAACATATACCTAGTGTACATAAAATATACATAACTTTCATGAAAATTATTTGCTTCACTTGCGTTTTTGTGCCTATTGTACATTCCTTCCAGCAAGGCTGTACTCATCACATTGTGGTGTCGGTAAGTCTATAAACCTTTCCCCAAGCCCCCCACGGTTTTCAAAATGGCAGACTGTTTGTTCTGGGTATCATCTCTGTATTTCGACCTGCTATCGATTTGAATGTAAGAGCTACGTCGCTACGTATCCGTTTTACTTTGAGCACATCTAAAATATCCTTTGAAGAAGAATGTGAATTGAATGGGAAAAAACGATAAAAGAAAAAAAAAAACAGTAACAACAACAAAATTTGACGTGACCAGGGCTCAAAACTCAAGTGAAATAGCACTAAGTATGTGTTACACACTCCCAACCAGGTCCCTATTTTTGCATAACAACAACAAAGGACATGGTCTCGCTCTTTTCTGAATCCCAGTGTACATTGCGGTACATCAACTTTCTCTTCTCCTAAAAATCGTCTTTTGCTCTAACTTCGAATATTAACTGCCTCGAGTTTGTTAACACGCTTCATGAGGAATAAAAGTAAAAGAAATAAAAGTAAAAGAAATAAAAGTAAATTGGCCTCCTAATGAGATGAAAAACAAATACTCAACAAAGATACGACAGAACGAACCATGATTTGCCTCGATGGGCACTTTGCTCTACACGGCTAAAATAAAGCCCCTACGGGCAAACGTCGTTGTAATTAAGTGATCATGCTTAAGCCATGTTAGCAGCCGAAAGGACCCTCGAGATGTAAACTTGGAATGCGAACTCTTGCATCTACGGGATTATAATTGAATCAAGATATCTTTGAAGGTAGAAAACCACTTTCCCATTTTTTCTTTAGTCAATCTTAGTTCTCCCTTGTAGGAACGAATATCACAACGTCAAACCGGGTTCTCAATAGTACAAGGAAAGATAAAGCACTTTTGTTTTATTTGATAATTTGATTTACTTTTATGACTTTTACTGTCCATGTGTTTTTCATCATCTTTTTCTATCGTTATGCGATAAATCCGCTGAAATCGTCTCTAAAATAACTTAGATGACGAAAAAAAAAGGTTGACATAAAATTGGCGCTTCGATCATTCGATAATTTGGGTGGCAAATGGCTTCCCCAAGAGTAAAGTTTCTTAGCTAAGTTTTTATTTTCCATTTTCATCTCTTTAACTAAGCTGTCGTCGTCAATGGGTTTATGACCGGATAATTCCAGCAAAGAACTAAGGAAAAACGGCCAATTATAAACAGTTGATGTACAGAAAGCCAAACTTTATATCCTTCATTTCCATGTGAGGAATAAATCTCGATGCGAAAAGACTACGAGCCTAGGAAGTAAGGAAATTACTTCAAGATTTTCAGCACATATATTTGAAAGATGAAAACCCCCGTGTTCGTGGGGAAAAGGTGAGTATAAACGTCTTGCAAACGCTTTCGAAGACTGTTATTCATCACTCAGTAATATTGATTCGAGACCTTTTTGAAAGGGAAACGAGGTGTAACGAGTTGTCAGGATCAAGGTTAAACAAACAAGAAAAGAAACTTGACGGACAATGTACAAGCATCTTGCAATCTTTCACACAAAGCGTTTTTTCTTGACAAAACAAACACAAGAACCTGAATTTTTTTTTAGTTGGCCTTAACCAATTCATGGCAACTTCAAGCAAAACATGCCTCATTATTTATCCTTACCAGAGCATAACGCCATTTGTCGATTCTTTTCTATTATGCTAAAAATCGTAAATAAAGATGGAAAGCTCTCCTGGGGGTGGGTTTGTCTTTTTAAAAGGCAGTTTTCTCACTTTTTTGATTGTTTTATCTATCATTTATTTTTAGGGAGAGAGAATATCTTTAAAATATGATAAGAATATCCAAAAATTGGTTTACGATGATTAAAAAAGACGAAGTTTGACACGTACTGCAAATGACGAGCAAAAAATTCCTCGACTTGACGTCTTGAAATCGAAACTTACCCACTTTTCTTTCAGTATCAGGTTTTTCCCTCATTATCGAAATAACTGATTGACAAAATTTTAGTTCTGAAAAAATGTGCAGCACATTTTTGACCAATAAAAACAACAAAAACAAAACAAGACAAAAACAAATACAAAAAACAAACAAAAATCAACTGAAAGAGGCTGTTAAGCAGGCTAGCTGAACAGCGCCGTTTGTGGTAAGCATCTAGATTTTTGTAATTTTGACAATGATAACCTGAAATTCACTTTTTTTCCTGGCAGACCCAATATTCAAAGAACGCAACGTTGAGTGAAATAAAGACTCAGCTTTTTTAGAGCTGAGCTTATCCCGTCAACCAAGTATTCAGATATTTTATGCTGACTTCTTCAAACAGTAGAGACTAGGAAGCTGCAGATCCAAAAATGTTGACGTCCTCGCAGGCTGATAACGGTAGGAAAACCACCTTCACAAATAGCGCCTGAAAGTGTCCTAAAAATAGCTAACGCTACCATTGTTGCTGCTGCAGTACTTGTGAAAAACGCAAAGCACAAACAGCTTTGACATTTTCCTCCTATCAATTGCATATCCCCTTATGACATGATTGATGCACTCTTCAATGATGGAGAAAGCTTGGGTTTAATGGATGTTTTTCCAATAATTATTACTGCATATTGTCACCATCTATGTCGCCTTTCGGTGTACGCGCGCGTTGCAGACCTATTTCCTTTGTTTTTGCTTTAACCATGGTACTTCATTCTCTTTCAGGCTCCACGGCGCAGCCTCCATTCTCGTATCCATCAAGTATTAAACTCACCTTCGCCATCTTATACGCTGCAATCATTTCAATGGCCTTAGTTGGAAACATTTTGGTGATCTATATTCTGTACAAGAGGCCAGAAACAAGAAGATTAACAAGCTTCATGTACGTCAACCTCGCTGTGGCCGACCTACTCGTAACAGCTGTTGTCATGCCTCAGTCGATGGAACTAATCATTTTGGATAATCTGTGGATCGATGGAACATTTGGTGAATTACTTGCCAAGCTCATCATGTTTGTTTTCTTCGTGGCGGTCACAGCGTCCGTCTTCTCTCTAACAGCCGTGGCTTTTGACTTCTTCTTCGGGATTGTCCTTCCCATGCAAAAGTTCCCTCGCTTTAGGAACAAAAAGATCTTGGTTCCCACAATTTGGATCACTTCAATGTGTCTGATGACTCCATGGTTGATCACAATCAAAGTTAAGAACTCCAGGATAGAATTTAAGTTTACTCAGTTTGGCGAGACTCAAGCAGCTTTGAGAGGTATCTTTCTTTATATCGTAGTCACCATCTACTTGTTGCCCCTAGTTACCATGTGCATTCTCTATGGACACGTCTGTCACACACTGCACAAGCACAAACTGCCGGGCATTGCCATCAACAATCACGCAAGAACTCGGGCCCATGCTACCAAGCGTCAAGTTATTCATATGTCGATCGCTGTCGTTGTTGCCTTTGCACTTTGCTGGCTTCCAGCGCATGCGTATCATATGATTTTGGCCATTGACTTCAGTGTGCGGGAATCGCTGCCATATTATTTTATGCTGTTATGCTATTGGTGTGGACATGCAAACAGCGTTGTTAACCCGTGGCTCCTGATATACCTTAAGAAGAAATTCCGTGCCGCATTTAAGAGAATGATAACTTATCCATTATCGAGAATCTCATTTGCTAGCAAGAATAATGAGAGCGTAAGAAGTGTAACTAGACTGCCTATCAGAGACCCGATTGTCCAAGTAAGAGAACATTACCAGTTTACAAGTTCTGTGTGAGGATTATTGTTAACTCTTCATAGGTTTTATTATATTCAAGTTGTAACATTTGCAAGCTCATTACAAGTCCAGTGACCAGCAGGCCAAATTAATTGAATTCAGATCGATGGATTACGACTCTGCAGAACGTGATCCACTAAATCAAGGACTTAACCTGTTTTGTCTCCATGCAGCATTTGGCTCGCATAATGGTGTAATACATATAATAATATAAAATATAATCATTATCATAGAAAATGTAGATTTTTACCGCCTTGATGTGCAAGTGTTAAAATGAAGAATTGTGTAGAGATCTAGTTGCCTCTCATTTTCGCACTTTTCTTTTCATTTCGGATGCCGTTTGTCAAACATGTCATAAAAAACCTTAGCGATACCCGGCATCTGTCTGGGAATTGAGATCTGGCCCGCACTCGACAGAATGGAGGAAGTAGAGCCTTCAAAAGAAACAAAACAAAACAAAACAAAAAGATTCACTTTACCATGACAATGCAAATTGCGTTCGAAATGAAATAGCTCGTAAAGAAGGAAGGCAATGCAGCACAGCATCACGGCTCATAAAAGCGTACAGTGTAGACCGAGCCATAAGTTAAAACTGGTGCTTTGTGGATTAGTTTGTCCTAATGGAATTAAGATCACAAATCAAGCCACCTAACCACACCAGTCTTGGGTTACAGTTTGGGATGTTGATCGGTCATCAGGACCGAGAGAGACAAGGTAGAATCGGGTCATCAGATTTCACATACGACTAAGCCCTGCGCGTATTCACGTCAAATCGCCAATTTCACCCAGGTGTGGAGTGGTACACTTACATAGTAACATATTCTCATAGCATTGATACCAAAACAACATTCACACATAAACTAAACGGCAAAGATTCAAGGGAAGTTTAGTGTGAACGAGTCTTAGAGTGATTTCTCAGCAAATGACTTATTTATTGGAAAAGGGTTATTCTTCACGTCTCCTCAAGTAACGTCATGCACACCTACGTGTAGTTTGGCCCTCTTAATATTAAAATCTTCGTACAGCCTTCCAACGATTTCTCTCACATTCTGGGGTCTCAATACATTTAAGTAGCTGCCGATGATGTAATAAGCGAATGTGCCAGAAAAGGCGTAAGGTGAAACCTAAACACGAGACCCTGCTCAACAAACGGCGGTAGACCGGCTTTTACTGAATCTCCTGCTTACTACACATCTACATATTTTTTTAAAATTTTTTTTATATATATGAACTAGCGAAAGGTTTGTGGACAACATTTGTCAAGCATGTGAAAAATGATTTCCCTTTAAAACAGCGTTTTCAGTTCCTTTCCGACCCATTCTTGAAACCTTCATATGACCAACGGCAATATGTGACTGAAACAATCCTAACTTTTAAATTCGGGCCACTGAGTAAAGAACAAAACATCTGTAAATCAATTCAAATCACAAATCAAGAAAATGCGCAAAGTGGACATGTGTTGTCAGACTGTGACTAGTTGCTTTGTCCAGTCGTATTATACCGCGAGTCTGAAGGGTGGTGTCCCGAAGATGTATGAACGCCATTGCTTCAAGTTACATTGTATTCATATAGCATCGGGGTCAAAGACTTTAAGACGAGATTTTAGTTTATTCTACCACTGACTAGTCAACCTTGCTCAAATCAACTCTTTCTCTTCCAGTCCAGTTGTTACAAGTAAGAATCTTTCTCCATTTCGTGTTTTTAATCTCCCTTCTTCTTTCACGATCAGTTGTCGACCTCGTTTGAAGAATGCAAGTTACGTTTTGCTTTTCTTGTTTCTTTTCTTTCTTCTTACATCTTCAACAGCCACTTTTTCATTATCTTCCAAATTCGTGTCGGCTGTGAATACCGAAATAAAACGAACATTTAAACAATTGGCACATGACTAGGAAAGGAAAAAAGCAGTTATCTCATTAAAAAAAAAAACATACGGACCAGAAAACCAGCGGATGGCAGCAGGAAAAGAGAATATAAAAGACAAACAAACAAACAAACAAAACAAAACAAAAGGAGCCTCAGTTGACACTAGCTCTGTTAAATCACTAATAATACTCTCACTAAAGATCACAAAACGATGTGTTTAGCAACACATCATTTTGTCCCTCAAAATACTCTTGTTTCTCTATTCACTTAATACCTTTGATCCCTGGCATTATAAGGGATCCAGTTTTAGTCGGGTACTTTCCACTAAAACCAGCAGGAATCAGAGGTGTCTTCAGCAAACCAGTAAGTTCCGCTGTAAAATAAAACGGCGCTGATATAGTTTGTATAAAAATTTCACCAATAAATGAAAGGAGCACTTGACACAGCCTAAGCTAACGCTGACCCACACAAGGCTGGAAATCAAGACTGTTTACTACCTTTTCATACTTTCACATAGAACTCAAACGTAAGAACCATGGGAACAATAATCCTCACCCCACCCTACTACTACAAGCTAAATGTAACCCATTTTGATTTCACTAAGATATTATCAGCCTGCAAGATCCATTATTTTTGGTGGGACTGTCAGTACAACCATTGTCTGCCTTAACTAAAGGTTGATTACCTTTCAATTGCTTCAGCTTTACTTGTCGCTCTTTCCTTTCTCCCTGATCTCCGAGATCTTCCAGTCTGTAAAAAACTCTTTTAAGGAAAATAAACTGAACAGGACAGTTTATAAAATGTGACATCAAACCTTCAAGACAGTAAAGTTCCAGAACACCAGTTCCGCCCGTTCCGTTGAAATGTTTTCTGACAATAAATGCATTCAAGCCCAAACCACCTAAGACTGATGTTGAGGCTGGTAGTCTAGTTAGTCCCAGACCATGTGATAGCACACAGGAGCGAAGAATGTGCATGTAAATGTATGAATTATCTCATCGAAAAAGATACAAATCTTCGTCAACTTCAATGTCCATGGCTTTGGCAGAGGCAAGTATCCAGTCATTACTTGACTTTTTGCGCCTAAATCTGTGAATATGGTTCGATGGCTTTCATTAAAGGGGGAGTTTAGACAAAGAGAAAGGGAGGGGAGGGTTGGAAGGAATTGAGAATGAAGGAGAGAACATCCGTAACTGCGTGAACAATTCTTTGTACGAAAAATGCTGCGCTGTCAAGCTCGATTATCAATTTGGGCCTTTTTCTTACGCGAAAAGACAAACAAACAAAACAAAAAACGAAGGGCTAACCAAAAGATAATTGCCATATTTCTCTTTTCCTTTCTTTCTTTTTTTTTTTTTCATCTTCACCTACTTGTGTTCTTCTTTGTCAATTTGCTTGGCGAGAGAAATTCTTTTCCTAATGGAGGACATAAAAGACACATCAACTGGAAAGGAGTCTAGCTCGTTTCCTGCAACACAAAATTTTAAAAAGAATAAAATCAAGAAAACAAATCTGAACAAAAAAATGAAACAAACAAACGAACGACACGAGAGACTGTAAGTTAACCCTTAAACGCCTATTCATGACTGGCATCTAGTTTCTTCTGACAGCATCACTCCTGAATCAAACATAAAGGTCACGAGAATACAGGGAACGACCACCTAAAGAAACTCTTGATTGTTAAACAAATTCTCTTTGTTAGTTCCATAGAAAATTCATGGAAAATGGTGTGGAGAAAATGCAAACTGATTTTTAAGGGTGTAAAGGGTTAAATTGTCGTCGGGCTCAGTAAACTCCTAGAGTCGATTGCGATGTACCTTTTCCTCCTAAAATATTGGTTGCAGCTAAAAGAAATATTTATCATCTAGAGGGGTATCATCTTCGTGCCATGACAAATTTTCTTAACCATGTGATCCATAAGAGTGACCAGCCTCCAACTTCTCCTAACGACTGTCACCCCCAAGTAAATATTTTTAAAAAGGTTATAAATGTATCAAACACAAGATATTGGGTACTTAAAATTAACCTCTAACCTTGTTATCAAATGGGTATCCAATCATTCTCCTGTTAACAAAGCTATCCGTACACGCATTAGGTAGGATAACCCAACTACGAATGAACGGAGCAACCATTACACGTCATCAACCCAAAATGCCTTGCGTACCTAACAAGATGGCGAACGCGGGTAGTTCGAACTTGCCGTGAAGGCCAGTTTTGAAAGCGGAAAATAAAATTAACAAGGTTACAGGTATGGTTTTAAGGACCAGATATCTTGAGTTGATACATTTAGAGCCTTTTTAGCAGTATTTGTTTTAAAACTGCAGGTTCTCTTTAAAGTCACGAGAATAGGGGACATGATCACCAACTAAAGAAGCTCTTGATTGTGAGACGAAATCTCCATGTTAACACCTTAAGAAATATATAGAGAACAGTATGCATGGAGAATATGCATACTAACGTTAAGGCGTAAAGATTTATCTAACTAAAAAGGAAATTTAGACGAATGGCACCTCAAACTGAGGGGGATTTCCAAATAACCTTTTAGAGTTTGACTGTTAAAGAGATACGCTGGAGATAATAAAGACACATCACCTCCATTAAGCGTCTTCATAATTTTCTTGTATGATCCCATTTCTTCTGGGCCAACAAGAACGACACTCAGACCTTCCCTGCTCGCTCTAGCTGTCCGTCCACTGCGGTGAATGTAAAGCTGTTAACGAACACAGAGAAAGAATTTAGGAACGCAGGATCACATGAGATGGTTGCGCTAAAGTTAATACTTACATTGTGGTTACATCATTACACAACAGTTCATTATTAAACGAGATACAACTGAGGACGATAAACGATAACAAACTGATCCTTCCATATAAACTGCATTTGGAGAACAGAGTCAATTTTTTTTCTAAATCAAAAATCATTAACTGAAATGAATTATGTTTTGATTTCGGTAGGTGAACCTCACACATTAACTCAAATTGGAAACAAAACAAAAACGTAGAAAATGAAGTTTTAAAAAGAAGTAAAGAAATACAATAAAATAAATTTAGAGAAAGAGTTCGGGCGTCAACGGCGTTCGAACTTTGCTATCCACATTCTGGTTGAGCTTCTCTTACAGTTGAGACTTGTAGCCCACACCTTGGTCAACGCATGGTCGGTTGAAGCAGCGTGCCTCCCAAAGCCTTTTGTCAAGGTAGAGTTTCGCAGAGAATGAAAGCACTGCCGCCAAAAAGCAATCGCTTCCGTTCCCGCCTACGGCACAGGCTAACCACCGACACAAGCTAACCAACCGTACACACATACTTGCACGTACTTACATCAGGGTCCTTCGGGACTTGATAGTGAATTACATGCTCAACAGCTGGTATGTCCAAACCTCTCGCGGCCACATCTGTAGCCAGAAGTAAGCCACTCGCACTTTGCTTAAATCTAAGAGGCAAGAAAAAAAATTAGCCAAAATTTTATGCTGGTGTAAAATAAGTCCTAACTAGCTTTAAATATTCTCTGAGGGGGGAGAGGGGCGGGTTTTAATCAGTCAAGGCGATCCAGTTATAGTCTATATATAAAGGAAATTCCATTGTCAATCAGGATTGGTTTAATAGGTCAGTCAGGTCGTAAACTAAACTCACTGTTTTGATGAAAAAAAAAATAGTAATAAGATCATGATGATTCTGATCCAAGGCCACATAACACGCGTGTCGCCTCGTGTTTTGCGCAAAGCAAGTTGCAGAATAAAGAACGTGAAAGACGCAACAGGAAAAAGCACGTTATCTACAAAATTAGGTTCCTAATTGTTGCTTTGATCTGTTTTGCTGTTTTTTTTTCCTTTGTTTCGTGGTTTTTTTTGTTCTTGGTTTTTATTCTTCTTTTTGTTTGTTTCGTTTGTTTCATTGTTTTTTGTATTTTCCATTTCACTCAGTTTTCACCCGACCTGTCTAAATTCTTTAATCTTTGCCTTTGTTGCATGCTGGCGTGAAGAACCCACGGGTCAAAGTCCAGTAGCCTAAACAAAGAGCCCAGTCTCCTCACACAGTCCACGGTGTTGGAGAAAACCAAAGTACGGCCTGGGTACCGGGAAAGGAAATAGTAGAGATATAGGTCCTAGAAAGAAAATTCAAAATAAATCTGAATGAGGTGATATTTACAACAACTGTATGTTTCGTAGTTCTCCTTCGATTTCACTTGGTACACCTCTGTGGCTCCGTGGATCATGTTCCTAGACAGTGCGGTGTACATGTAGATGCATTTGGCTCAAAACAATAATAAAAAGTAATAAAAAGTGTATCCTGGATCTTGAAGTGTTTCGCTTCCTTGTCAGCTCAACTATTACAAACCTTCTCTTCAATTACACATGAGATCTTTGCTTCTGTCAGGCTTTCTACGGTTCCTCTCTTGTTGGTAACATCGATAATTTTACTACAACTGTTCTTCTGCAGCCCAACTTTGTCCATCAGCGACACTAAAAATGTAAAATGCAAAGAGTATTGCTGTTAACGGAAGAACACAAGCCGATCAACTTAATCATGTTTAACTAAGATGTTAGATAACAAAGACAAAAGCAAAAACAACACAATAAAAACTTCGACACACTTGATAAAGCCGCAAATTTTTGGGTTTTAAATGATGGATAATTTAAATCATTTCATTCCATTATCACTGCGAAAAAGAAACACTAAAGTTAAAATTTTATGAAAAGAGAGTCATTTACCTCAGCTTACAGGTTGGCTGTCAAGAAAACCAATTCAGAAGGAGAAGCCCGAAAAAATTAAAGCTTCAATGGAAATTGAAGTCCATTGCAAATATAAATGTAGATGTGGTATGTACCTCTTTCTATGAATGAGCTCCAATATTGAAGATAATTCTTGAAAGTGGCCTTGCTCCACCATTCTGTCTGCCTCGTCAATCACAAGATATCTCAAGTGCTCCAAACGGCAGACATGCTCTTCACCCTGAAATTAAACGCCGCGAGCAGATATCTACGGCGTTTTAGAATCATCCAACTTTATGCTGAAAACCACACAGGTCAACTGATCTCAAGAGAGAAACCTTTACCACCATGTACAAGTGTGTGTCGACTGTTTCAGATCTCAAAAAGAAAGTGAATCGGTACAACTTATGATACATGAGGTACTTACCTCTGAAATCAAATCCCACAGTCTTCCTGGGGTGGCTACTATTATCTCAGGACACTTGTTTAAAAGTCTCTGTTGTTTTTGAGGTGCCATTCCTCCAACCACAGCAACAATCTTGGAAAAATAAATTTCAGTTTCAATTGTTTATTGATTCAAATAATTTTGAGGGACTTTGCTTGCTGGGTATTTCTCTGATAAAAGATACACGTTGAAACAGGACTAGAAGGGGCGGCAAGAGAGGGGAGGGTAGGGGGTAAATGGTAAATCATAAGGGGTAGGATTGTAATACTCTGAACAAAAGGGTTTTTATATACTTTGCTGATGAAGGGGCGAAGATAACATAAATATTTCAGCCCAGAATATGATACCACAAAACAATACAGCAAGGCGTGAAATTGCGCCTAATACAGGCGCCAATACGATTAAATTTTTCTCTTTGGTGACCAAATCCTGAAAATTAGTCGCCAAATTGGCGAGTGAGTTAACGAGATTTGTTAAGATAAATCCGCGGCAAATTTCCTTTTAAGTTTGTTTCCAAAACAGGTGAGCTTGAACGTTGTATATCATCCATCCCAGTGTCCACTTTGTGGCACGTAAAATATCTTTTTCCTAACATAATTTTGGAGGGTCTATCTAGAACGCTGACAGCGGAGAAAAAATAGGTTTTGTTGTCTTTAAAAATGGCGACCAACTTTTTTCGAATTGGCTACTACCTTGAAAAATTTAAGAGCCAAGTGGCTACCAGGAAAAAAAAATTACACGCCCTGTACAGTTTATGTT